CTCAAGGACCCCAGGTGCAGGAGCTCATCTCAAGGTCACAGTTGGCAGTGGGCGCACTTGCACGAGGAGTCAGCTGGAACTTTCATCTGCAGCTGGACTCAGGAGTCTCTCCAGGGAGACCCCCTGTCAGGGCCGCTTTGTCTCTCACAGAGGTAATAAGTCACTGTGGTGCCTGAGTCAAAAGAAACCCCAGGACAAAGTCACTCAAGGTGGTGGTTTGCATGTGCTGTGTCAGGGTTCTTTCTTCCCGACTGCTCACCACTGACCTTGACCTACAGTGCTGTCTTAGAGCTGCTGCTTGCAGGCCCAGGGAGGCCCAGACCCCACTTACAGCCTCCTGGTTGAATGGTAAGGTGGGGGGACAGGGTCTGGCTGGGGGGCTCCAAAGTCCTGTCCCAGCCTGTCCTGCCCCTGACCTGCTTCCCCTTGTCCTCAGTTTGCCCATCTGAGGGACAAAGGACTCGCAGTGTCTAACTCAGCGACTTCCAGGCCAGACAGACATTAGAACTGCCCGGGAGGTTTTTATAATACCTGTCCCTCTCCATCCCCAGAGGCTCAGATTCAGTCCAGAGTGGGGGACTCATTGTGGATTAGTCAGAGTTCGAGGGGGGGAGAGAGAGAGAGAGAGAGAGGAGAGAGAGAGAGAGAGAGAGAGAGAGAGAGAGAGAGACTGCTTATAATAAGGAATCGCTGGTGCAGTTGGGAAGACTGAGAAGCCCCAAGACCAGCACCTGGCAGACTGGAGACGCGGTGTGGGTTCCCAGGTGAAGGCCAGCAGGCTGGGGGCCCAGCAAGGGTTGAAGTTTCCTTCTGAGTCTTAATTTAGGGACTAAAACGCCATCCCAGCTCCGAGGTCAACAGGCAGGAGGAACCCCTCTTTCCCAGGGAGGGGGACCTGTGGCTCCCTTGGGGCCTCCCTAATTAGGGGTGGCTTGTCCACAGTGGGAAGAACAAACTGCTTTGCTACTGATTTAAAGGTCAAAATCTTCCAAAAACACTCTCACCAAATATTGTTTGGCCAAGTACCTGGGAATCCCAAGACCCAGCCACACTGACATAAAACTAACCATTGAAGGTATCGGAGCTTGTTCCAGAGGATTCTAAGAGCTTCTGCAGAAGAGCTGAGCTGTGGGAATAGAGAGTCCTTTCTCTCAACTGCAGTAAATGAGAAAAAGAACAAGACTATGGCGAATTTTCCTAGAGTTAATGGGCTCTATTTCAAGAGGACCTTTATCTGAGATTGTGTCTTTCCTGTTCCAGGGACATTCAGGTCCTTCTTTTTATAATACCAGTCAATAGTTGGAAGTAGGGTGTTTTTTTTTTTTTTTTGAGTTTTGTTTGTTTTAATGCCTGCTGCAGTTGGGATATCGAACGTTCCCTAACAGCCCATGTGCTAAAGCCTCTATCCCCAGAGCAGTCTAGTGCGGGAGTGGTGGTGGGATTTGGGGGAGGTGGGGACTGGAGAGGGGTATTTAGGTCACCGGGGCACGCCCTGGCGGGGGATTGAGGGACCCTTCCCCACTTTCCTTTCTTCCTGGGCTCGTCGGGGGCAGCTTCATGCTCTCGCTCCGTGCTCTGCTGTGCCCAGAGCAAGGAGGACGCACAGGTGGAAGACATAGGCAGTGACCTGGACAGAGGCCGGGCGGCAGGGCAGGGCCTCGAACACTGCACAGAAGAAGCTGGACTTGCCTTTCCAGGACTGAGTGTCCCAGGAATGGAACGGGGTTATTGGAGGATTAGAAAAATCACTCTGGAGGCACGGAGGCACAGAGGAGAGGAGATAAGAATGAGAAGGGAGGTCCAGGCCTGGATGGTAGAGGGGAAGGGACAAGGGAGAGAGGCATCTAGCAAGGAGGGAGCTGCCGTTTACTGGCTCTGACCACGGCTGCTCCTGGGGCATGATGTGCTGAATGTCAGTCTCTTCAAAATGCTTGTCCACCAGGACCCCGGCTGTGGTCAGATCTGCACAAAGGGCCCCTGAAGATGTTATTAAGTTAAGGATCTCCAGCTAAGATCCCTGGATCCCCCCGATAGGTCCTGAGTCTGGTGTTGGGTCTCCTTGCAAGAGACACAGAGACACAGGCCATAGAATTGGGGAGTAGAGTCTGGAGCCCCACAGCCACCAGCCGAGGAATACTCAGAGCCACCAGAGGCTGGAAAAGTCAGGGGCATCTCCCTGGAGCCTGAGAGAGCACAGTCATGCTGCACATGGACTGTGGGCTGCTGGCCTGGGAGCTGTGGGGAAGTCATGAGTCGGTGGTGACAGCAGTGATGGTCCAGGCCCTCTGCCATGCAGGCCCAGCGGGTATGGAGACCCTAGGAAGCCAAGGTCCTGGGCCGGAGCAGGTTTCCAGAGGGATCCCGGGTCCAAGCCGCAGACAAAGACAGTCAGGCTGCAGCCAGAAAAGCCCTCACTCAGGCCCTGCCTTGCGCTAAGAAAACAACCTCCCATGTGTTGCCACATGAGGATTAGTCAAATAATTATGAGCTCTGTCTTCCCCTGAGTAACTCGGCCGGGCTGGCGGCTGAGGGGTGAGTAGAATCATCACCCGGTCAGGGAGGAAAGGCGATCTCCGTGGGAACCTGCAAGAAACCCAGCCAGGCTCTCGAGCAGGTGGCACGCCCCACGCACCAACCAGTCAGGCCAACGCAAGGCCACCCGCCAGCCACAGCCCTGGACCCCTCCCCAAACGAGCTCACCCACTTATGGCCACAAAGCTCCATCACCAGCAGCCCAGGAGCAGCCCCGCTGGGGACAAGGGGAGCCTTCCAAGACTCTCTCCATGGGGCCCTGGGAGCTGCCAGCAAGGACCCTCACGTTAGAGGCTGGGGGCACGCAGTGTGGCAGGAGGCTAAGGGGCCTGGGGTCTGAAAAGCCAGGTTCCCATCCCAGGACCACTTCCTAAAAGTCTTCTTTCTGCCCCTGACCATGTGAGTCAATCCACTCCACCTCAGTTTCATCTCTAAAATGGGGACAATAAGATGCACCTTGCAGCATAATTTAGGAAGTTAGATGAACTTTCATGTTTCAAATGCCTAGCACACAGTAGGTGCTTCTATCCACTGGCAAATCCTTATTGAACACCTGCATGCCAGGTGCTGGGGCACTGATGGACAAGGGGTTGCCATCCCCAGGAAGCAGCCAGGTAAGGAGGCAAACACAGCTAGCCGAGAAGGCTCTGTGGGAGGGTCGGGGACTGGGACCCCTCTGAGGAGGGGTGCTGCAGGGGACTCATTGTTCTGTTGTGAAGAGAGGTTCAGTCAACGGCAAGCGAGGGCCAGGCCAGTGCTCACCCCCGGGCTTTAGACCCACACTGCTGCCCCCTTTCCCCGAGAAAGACTGGGCCAGTTCAGGGTTAAAGAGTCAGGCCCAGCGTAGCATCTCCACTCCAGGCTGCCCAGCCTTCCTGCTCAGCACTGGGCACCCCAGCCCACTGTGCAGAGGGCCCTACCTGGGGCACACAGTGTGCTCATCCAGTCACCTGCTGATGGATATTGTATTATTTCTAGTTCGTGGCTATTATAAATAAAGCTGCTATGAATATTCGTGATCTAGACTATATGTGGGTATATGTTTTCATTCCTCACTGATAAATTTCAAGGGGTATGGCTAGATCCTGCCCAGCCTCCTGAGCACCTGGGACCACAGGTGGCCATGGCCACTCTTTTATAGCCTCTTTTATAGACTGTTTTATAGTCTCTCAGCACATGTAAGTTCTGGTTGCTCCAATTTCCTGATTAGCCATGTTGAACATCTTTCAAGGTGCTTGTCATTTATCTTCTTTGATGAGGTGTCTGTTCCAGCCTTTTGCCCATTTTTAATGATTGGGGTTTTCCCCTTCTTATTCAGTTTGAGAGTTCTTTATATTTGGGGTATAAGCATCTCCCCGCCCTTTTTTGTCTTTTGGTCCTGGGGATCTAACCCAGGGCCTCGAGCAGGCAAGGCCAGCCCTCTACCACTAAGCTCCACCATCAACCTTGGATCTGAGCCCTTTATCAGATCTGTGATTTGCAAAATTGTTCTCTCAATCTGTGTTTATATTTCTATTCTTTCAAGTATCTTCTAGCAGCAGAAAATTTTTAAAAATTTACTTAAAGTTCAATTTATTCATTTATGAGTTATTCTTTTAGGGTGATAGCTAAGAAATCTTTGTCCAGGCCAAGGATACAAAGGTTTCCTCCATGTTTTTTTTATTCTAGAAATTTCATCGTCTTCAGTTTTAGATCTAGGCCTGTGATCCATTTTGAGTTAGATTTTGCATATGGCCTGGATCCAAGCTCATTTTTTAGAACACAATACCCAGTTTTCCCAGCACCATTTGTTGAAAAGCTCGTCTTTTCTCCACACATTTACTTTTGCACCTTGGTTTTAAAAAAATCAGTTACCTTCTTCCTCCCCTGCAAAATCGGCTACCCATATTATGTGTAGATCTGTTTCTGGACCCTTCTGTCTCCTGGATCCGTTTGCCTCAGAATCGGACTTGAAGTCAGGTGAAGCTTGTCTCCCAAGCTTGTTCCTTTTCACACAATTTTGGCTATTGCAGGTCCTTTACGTTTCCTTGTGAGATTCAGTAGCAGTTTGTCAGTTTCTCAAAAAAAAAAAAGTGGTAGGACTTTGCATGTATCTAGTAGCTGTTCAGAAAATGATTCAGACCTTCAGTCTTGATATTTACACTGCTACAGTGCTCCACAGTTTTTTCGACCTTCAGGTTAATGCTCCACAAACCTGTGACATGGCTGGGCTGGAGTCCCCCATTGTAACCCGAGGCTCTGAGAAGCAAAGACTCTGCTAGTGAGTGATGGAGGAAAGCTGAATGCATGTCTTGAGACTCCAATCCCGGGCCCTCCTGCAGTCGGCTGCCTCTGTGCAGGGGTCTGCAATAGATGCTTAATATTCCAAAAAGTTTAATAAACCGGACGTCATTTGGGTGGCCTTTCTAAAATCACTCCCGAAGGCTGCTGCTGTGTGCATTTCCGTTGCCCTTATTTGAACGCCTCCCTCTGGCTTCCCTAACATGTGGGCGACAGTCTTAATAGGAAAACCATATGCCATTGTTCCCCTTCAACTTTCTTTCTTGGCAAGAACACAGCTCCGTGGAGGAAAAAGGGAGAGGAAACAGGGACACATCGCAGAAGGAGGGATTCCGGTTTTGAAGTGAGGAAGAGCTTCCGGAGGGTGGAGGCTGCCAAGCGCTGGATGGAGACGCCAAAAAGAATGAGAACTTTTTCCAGCCTGGAAATCTTGAGGTTGCCTTCTCCCTCGGGGTGGCAATGGCCTCCACACTCTCTGTCCTCGGAGGCCATGAGAGGTCAGTCACTCGGCCTTCCCAACAGATTCCTTCATGCGCACAACGGCAGGTATGGGGACTCCCAGGGTAGCCCCGCATCCCAGGGGGCCAAGATGGAGTGGACCAGGGTGGGCAGAGCAATTCTGAAAGACGGGTTTGTCAGTTTCCCTGGAAACAGTCCCTGAGATGGAGATTTGCACGGGGGAGGTGTGTCAGGCGTATTCCCGGAACATCTGTGAGGGTGACCGCAGCTGATCGGGGGACATGACTGGAACCGAGTTCTCAGCCTAAAGAGCTGGTCTCTGTCCCTCCACCCCCACTACCAGTCATTAGGAGCCAGCTGCCCCAGGGAAGGAGAGGGACTCACTGTGACCCTCACAGAGATGCTCCCGGTCACTCTGGGGAAGTGAGCACAAGGGGCTGTGGGGCAGGGGGACACTGCAAGGGCTGAGAAGATCGCGGATCTCTCCTCGGCTCTTCATGTTCCGTGGAATCAGACCCCTCGTGTTCAGAACAGCAGGAACGCAGCCCTGGAGCCCCTGTGAGGCAGCACATCCATTATCAGCTCACCCCGGGAAAGCAGAGTAGAAAGGATGTCAACACAACAGCATCAGCTGGGAAACTGTGCTTCAGGAGCCTTCCCAAGTGCCTCACCTGCACCCGGTCCTGTCCATGCCTCAGCCCTGCTAGGCTGGGTCCCACAGGGACAGGGGGCTTTCCATGCCCAGTGCCCTGGTCACTGTCCAGCAGAGGTGGAGCCCAATGCAGATGGTCTCTGACTTTTTTTTTTTTTTTGGTACTGGGGATGGAACTCAGGGGCACTCAACCACTGAGCCACATCCCAGCCCTATTTTGTATTTTATTTAGAGACAGGGTCTCACTGAGTTGCTTAGAGCCTCACTTTTGCTGAGGCTGGCTTTGAACACGTGATCCTCCTGTCTCAGCCTCCTGAGCTGCTGGGATCATACATATGTGCCGCTTAGCCTGGTGGTCTCTGACTGTGTGTGTGTGTGTGTGTGTGTGTGTGTGTGTGTGGTGTGTTGCTGGGGATTGAACCCAGGGCCTTGTGCATGCGAGGCAAGCACTGTACCAACTGAGCTATCTCCCCAGCTTGGTCTCTGACTTTTGATGGTTCAATTTTCCAACTTTACAGTGATATGAAGAAGGTGCATTCAGTGGAAATCATACTTCAGATTTTGCTCTTTTCCCAGGCCAGTGAAATCAGGTGGGTGCCTCTCTGGCAAGGCTGGGCAGCTCCCAGTGAGCCCCCACATCATGGAGGGAGAGAGACAACAGCTGTGGTGCACCATTACCTGAGATGCTCTGCACTTCCCTCTAAAGCAGGCTCCGTGTGGGAGGATCTCGCCGACTGCAGGCTAAGGTGAGTGTGCGCCCTGGCAAGCCAGCCTAGCTAGGGTGCCCCGGTGGCCAGGAGCATTCAAGGCATTTGCAACGTGTGATATTTTCACCCGAGCCCAAGGTCCCCGTGGAAGGCTGAGGCCCAGCTGCACAGTGAGCTGGCCTCAGCCCTCGACCCACAGAGGGGGGGCCTTTGGGGGGGGGTGTCCTTTCTTTTCTAACTCTTTCTCACGGGGGTTTCCTGAGCTTTTGCTTCCATGTTCGCTATCTCACAGGGGGTCTAGAAATTAATGAAAGACATGACAATTCTAGAATGCTGCGATGTCTTTCGTGTCCCCAGGTGATTGGCTCCTTGGCTGATTTGTGGAGAAACAAACTGACTGCCCCTCCAGAAAGAAGCTCCCCTCCCACCCTCGCTCCTCTGGCCTCCTCTGTTGAGGAAGGTTGGGCTTCTTCCTCCGTCTGCTCTGTCCAGAAGCTTCTGGAGGAAGAGGAAATGCACCCATCCCTTGTGCAACCCTGAAAGGCTAAGCATTGACCTGGGACCTGAACAGCAGGGTCAGGACAGAGAGCCCACGGCAGGCTGGGAGGAGATATGGCCCTGAGGGAGGGGACCATGTCCTGCTTTTATGGTTCCTCTAGTGAGTATTTATTTGCAGTTGTCTCCCAGACGGCAGCCCTGACCTGTGGCACCGTGGGATCCACAGCAACTCCGTGTTCAGTGTTACCGTGGCGGGGGGCGGGTGGTGGCGGAACCCAGAGATAGAGATCCAAATGCAAACCACAGGCGGGCAGCAGTGAGGAGAGGGGAGCTGAGCGGAGACTCAGGAGGCAGAGGGCCAAGCCAGGTGGCAGGGCCCAGAGCTTCCAGAGAGGCAGGTCATTCTGTTTGGTCCAAAGGCAGAGTGTCGGGGCAGGGGACAGGCTGCAGGGGGAAGAACACACAGGAAGGGCAGGAACTGAACAGGGAAGAGCTGGGGCCAGACCTAAGCCCCAGAGACCAGCAGTGTCCCCAGGAAGAACTGGAGACAAAGCCAGGGGCAGCCCCTTGGGGCACCCCCAGGATGGTGCCCAGCCTGCCCAGGTGGCACCGCAGCAGCAGCAGGCTGGACACACCTCCCCAGGACCTGCAGGCCTGGGCTTCCCCGCCTTCTCCCCTGCAGGTGGTCTGACCCCTCCCTTCCCTCTGCCCTTTCCTTTGCTCCCCACCTGCCCAGCACGGTCCTCACCCTTCAGTGTTTTGCTCCTCCTCTGCCAGCTTCCTGTCTGTGGGCCTCACTTCTTGTCTGTGTTGTTCCCAGGATCCTAGATGTTGGGCTCACGGAAAATACTCAATAAATATTTATGGCCTGAGACCCTGCCAATGAGAGCGCCCACTTACTGAACACGTCACACTCTCCCTATGTTCTCCCGTTTAGCCTCACCATGACCCTCGCTTGACAGATAAACCAAAGCCAAGGGACTAAATAAAGCTGCACCAAGTATACGGCCACCAAGGGGCAGAGCTGGGGTGCCAACCCTGAGTTCCCTCGGGAAAACAGCCTTAGCCTTTCCAAGAAGAGATGAACTCTAAAAGGGGATGTGTTTTACGCCATGCGCACAGACATATACTTCAAAGACCAAGTTGCAACACTACATCTCCAAATTCACAGGGCGAATTTGCCAAAGTGGTGGCACTGGCTGAGGTATGGACACAATCCCCACTCACAGAGGGGGCCGTGAATTTACTGGTAAATCTGTCCTGGAAATGGGGATGCACCTTCCCACACTGTGGCTAATCCAGGAAGCCTGTTAACTCCTGATGCCTCCTGAGTTTAACTCTAAGCCTCAATGCCAAGAGTCCAGGGGGACTGGATAGTGGCCTCTGATGGGGTCAATGATGGACCAGGGATTGAACCCAGGGATGCTTAACCACTGAGCAACATCCCTGGCTCTTTTTTGTATTTCATTTAGAGACAGGGTCTCACTGAGTTGCTGAGGGCCTCGCTAAATTACTGAGGCTGGCTTTGAACTCGCAATCCTCTTGCCTCAGCCTCCCGAGCAGCTGGGATTATAGGCGTGCGCCACCACACTTTGCTAAGGAGTCCATTCTTAAGGAAACTGCCATGTCGGAGTTCTTATTCAAACTGTGGACAAACGACAAGGACAGAGAGTGGTAGATGGGACCAAAGCCTGATATCATTTCTCCTTCCAGCCACCAGGGAGAGGGCGAGGGGTCCTTGTTCTTCCATCTCACAGGTGGGGCCTGAGGCTGAGACAGCTCAGGGGCCCACTGGAAATCCGTGGCCAGTCTCAGACTCCAGGTCGATGCTACCCAGTGTGCCAGCCCCAGTCCTTTTCTGTCCACTAGTCATTTGGGAAAGTCAGTGAGTGATCCGAGCAGTTAAGAAGCTGGTGTCCATCAAGAGCATCTCCTGCAAACTGCACCAGGCCTGGAGCTTCCCAGCTCACTGGTGGCCGGGGAGAAGTCGGGTTGTCCCACCTGATGCAGGCAGCACCGTGGCTTCCCCCACTGCCCAAGTGCCGGGCTCTGAGTGGCTCTGTGCTGGCCTCCTTCAGGGAGAAGAGGATGGTACAGATGACCACCCTTTTCACATCCCAGTGCACTGTTAAGATCTGAAAATTGTATTAAGTCCCTCAACAAAGCCTATTTCTACATTTTCTCTGGTTTAACTCTTCCTGGATCATTTTGCTTGGGGTTTTGGCCTGCCTTCTTCCTCCTCCTCCTCCTCCTCCTCCTCCTCCTCCTCCTCCTCCTTTCCTCCCTCTCCCTCTTCCTTGTTCTTCCTTAAGCCTGTCTATTGTTTCTTAAATGAACCAAGTGCTAACATTTCTGATATTTGCTACAGGACTTGAATACTTGAACAGAAAACACATACTGACCTGGCCTCTTTGGGACCTTCTGTCCATTTGTGTCCCCAGTAAGAACAGTGGCCTGCCCTCCCCTCTCTTTGCAATCCTGCGTTTCTGGGGTCCAGCCTCTGGGCCTTGTGCAGGCTGGTACCTGTTAGGAGCCTCTGCATCCCTCCCACCTATCCGAATTGGTCCCTTTTACAATGACTAAGACCAATGCCCCTGGCCCATGAAGTCTTCATTGAACACCACATCCTCAAATCTTTCACTGCTTTGGGAGCACAATGTGACCCTCTATAATTACCTTGAAAAAGATTAATTGTAAGGATGTGAATATGTATTTGAGAAAATGTAATCGCCCCATATATTAATCTGTTTTTCATTTTTATAATGAAACGCCTAAGGCAGGCTAACTGTATAATGAAAAGAGGCTTCTTTAGTTCATAGATTTGGGGGAGGAAGGTCCAAGCAGCAAGGTGCAGGCTCTGTTGAGAGCCTCTCTTCCTTGGCTGCATCACCTCATGGAGGAGCAGGAGCCTGTAAGGGAGGAAGAAATCACATCTTGAAACAGGAAGCCAGAGAAAGACTGCCCCCTCATTGACCCAAGGACCTCTCGGTAGGCTCCACCTCTTAAAGGTCCACCACTTCCCAATATGCCACCCTGGGGACCCAGCCTCCAACACAGGCGTCTTTGGGGGAACACACTTAAACAAATCTAAACAAAGGCTCCCCCACCTCAGTGCTGGTACCTCCTCCCCATCTCTGCGTCTGGTTGGCCTGTGTGTTATTCAGTCCCGGTGGTTCGCACGCACTCCCACAGACCACAGCCGCCTAGAAAGCAGGGACCCGGTGATGATCCAGGGCCAGGGGGTGCGCAGCCAGGCCCCGCCCCTTGTCTGCCAGGCCCCACCCCCTTTCCGCCAGCCCCACCCATCGCGTCCTGCAGGACGCTTCCTCTCTACCCTTGATATCTTACTTGATCTGGAGACTGCACCGAGGGCATGCAGAGCAGGGGTCACTCTCCCTTTCACAGGTGAAGGCACCAAGATGCAGAGGAGTGAATGGGAGCCACTTCAGGTGACACTGGAACTTGGGTCTTATGACTTGTCCAGCTGTCCCAGAAGGACTCTTGATGTCCCTAACCCTGCTCCGGAGAGCGCAGCTTTGCAGAACTGAGGCTGGCTGAAGACACGTTGCCATGTTGCCCTGTTGCTCCTCTCTCACGGAACAGCCAAGCCCAGGCTGTTCCCCACTTCGATTCCGTTTGTGCCCTTGTGGCAACCTTGAAGCGCACTTGGGTTTCCGCATCCCCTTGGGTGGATCATAAGCCACCAGCCAGCTGTCACCTCCCCTTTAGTTCCAGTGCAGCCTGCGACTGTTTCCTTTAACTAACATTGGACAGCCTCCTTGCACATGTGGTCCGGACACAGGTTGGTGCAAAGGCAAACACAGGCCACGGGACAGGCACTGCCCCTCTTCCAGGTGCCAGGAGCGCGCCTGTTTACAGAGCTCCCAGGGCCACCTGCTGCAAGGTGACGGATGGGGACAAGCTGCTGAGCTCATGCTGACTGACTGGAGGAATGGCCGGAGTGCCTGTCAGAGCTCTGTGGGGTGACCAGGATTGTCAGCCCTGGAGACCCAGAAAGCCATGTGCTCGCTCACACTTCTCTTGGGACCACAGGAGCCCTCCTGGGCCCATTTTTTCTGACATTCAGAGCAGCTGGGGGTGGGGGGGGGAGGGAAAAGCGTGCCTTGGTGATGACCTAGAGCTTCACACTAGTGTTTCCATACCCTCAAGGGACTTCTTTAATCCGGGTAAGTGCACCGTTCTCTTAGGAGAGCCCTGGTCAGGGGGCGCTGCTGCCCAGCCCTGTAAAAGCCTTCCAGTGGCCCGCCCAGGATGATGTTGGGCACCTCAAGAATACCTGTTCCTTTTAATTTAATATTACGTATTGATTTTAATGTGTTTTTAAACGTACTGGTGACTTCATGTGTGTTATTTAGGAGAAGGCTAAACATTTTTAACAAGTGAGTTGATGAAGCCGATTAAAGCCACTTAAAAAATTAAGCAAATAATAATACGGGGCATGAATGGCTATGATCAAACTCTGATGGGGAAGCTTTAACAACTGGGCTTTGGGAAACACCATTTTCCTGGAGAATCCCATTTTCATACCAAAATACTGAGCCCGCTCCAGCTGAGCAGGGGGCTAAAGTTCCCTCTGAACTCAAGCCAGCCCACGTCCCAGCTGCCAGGGGGCGTGGTGTGGTCAAGTGCAGTGAGAGGTATTTTTGTGTGTTGGTTTGTTTTCCTTGAGATTTTTACTATATGGTGGGCCTTGGCGGATAGATAATGAAGAAGCTCTCATGAGGGGCACGCAAAACTAATCCCGTAGCAAAATCTGAACTGGCAATGAGGGATTGATGGGCCAATGAAATTGGGACCAAGTGGGTTGTCAGTCTTTCAACTTATCAGAATATTAAAAAAGAAAAAAAAATATGTTCAAATGTTTATTCACCTGTGGTCTTCATTGAGCCTTTAAGAATATGGTATTTAGGTAGCTAAGCTAGGATATATGTATATGTTTCTTGTTCTGTTTTACTTTGTTAGCCAAACATTAACCCACTGGCTTTTCCTTATATGCCAGGTCATTAGGGCAGACTGCCCACAGGGGGATGCTTTAGACTCACCTGGGAAGCATGTTACACGCAGATTCCGGGGCCCCTCCCAGGATTCTGGCTTAGTGGGTCTGGGGTGGGCCTGGGCCATCTGCATTCTGGCCAGCTCTTTGGGTTGCCTGATAATGGTGTCCCTGGACCTCATTTTGTGAGATCTTAATGCTCAGGGGATAAGCATGACTCAGATGTGGATTCCAGCCTTGGAGAGCACAGCCCTGGAGCCAGGGATCCACTGTGGGGGGAAGGAGGGTAAAGCGCAGGGAGCCCTTCCTTCCCGCCTTGCTTCCGCGTGGCTACTTGCTGCTGCTGGAACTTCAAAACCCCACTGACCTCTTCTACTCTAGTGTCACTCTTCTGTTCACACCAACCCACGTGTTTTTCACTGAAGTTTTTTTTTTTTTTTTTTCTACAACTTTGACTTGGGTCACTTTTTTATCTCCCATGTCTCTTCATACCACCCTCAACCTTTTCTCTAACTTTCTGGACATTTGAGATTATTCTCATTCATGATTTTAATGTCCTTATTGACTCACTCCATCATCCACGTCCCTTCTGGGTCTTTCTATGGTATGATTTTCTCCTTGTTATGGATCCTACTTTCCTGCAGGCCTGGAGCTTTTCGATTGGATACCAGACATTGTGGATTTGACATTGGCGGGTTGATTTGTGTATGTGCATGCATTTTTTTAAAAAATTATTTTTGAGCCTTGTTCTGTTACACAAAAACAGTTCATTTATAAAAATGGTCAAAGGTCAACAGACTATAGCTTATAGGCCAAATTCAATTCCCCACCACTTTTTTTTTTAAGTGGGGGG